ATCAACACTCTGAGATCATAACAGTTAAAAATTTAAGCAAATATTCAATCATTCGAGTAGTCAATTTGGCAATATTTAATTCATATTTTACCTTAAATGGCAAGTTGTATTGTTCAGCCCCTATTTTAACTAATAACTGCATCACCCAATTCGGAGTTTGTGTGTTTTGAGTGACACTCCTAATTTCCAAGTTATCAGTTCACCATATGGACGATTACTGCGCTGTTCAGCAACACGGCTGATAAATAGAATAGATGCAAATACTAAGTTTACCATGGAGTTAGAAAAAGGAAAATAAATTGCCTTTTTTGTATGTATTAGTGAGCAAAGAAGATAATAAGTTAGGCAGAGACGTATATGGGAGACGCACTTACGCGGGTTTCCTTATTAATTTCTTCTCGAACCATACACATGAAGTAAAATGAGGAGTTGTGAAGTCTATGAAAATAAGGAGTATGCGTCTAGCAATGCAACCATAGGGACCAGGAGATTGATAGATTGAGGGATATACTGTTTAAAACAATTACCCATTATGCTTAGCAGCTAATTACATATAAAGTGCAGTCAGCAAGATTAGGGGAGTTTGCTATCAGGTGCGGGATATCAAACTGGACAATTCTACTCGGTTCCTAATTTTGTCTTGCTGTCAACTTGCGAAAAAGTTGGGTGATCTACTGAGGAAGTGGAACATAAAAAGAATGTATTAATAGAAATTAACACTTTGCTCAGTAGTTCCTTCTTTTAGAGAACATTCAGACCCTCTTTCTAGATCAGGCCCTACAAGGTTTTGTACTCATGTGGTAGGGTATATGTGGGCGAGACCTGCCGACCCATTCACAAGAGACTATGCGAACACAAAACCGCTTGTAAAGGTCTGTGGCTCCGAAAATCTGAGCACGATGAACACATTTTTGCAATGCAGAAAACTGAATAGACTGGTCCAAAACACAACGCTTTGCGGGTTATGGGGACTTGACTTCAAAGCGCAAGATTAGGGAGTCCATAGAAATTGGCAAAACAGCCAACGTCCTGAATAGGAGAAACGAGTATAAAAAAGTTGGTGGGGACATTTTGTGGTTGTTGGATAGACTTAAGGAATGGGAGAGAGAGAGGGTGAAGTAAGAGCCAGTGAGCAAGAGAAGGAGGCTGGGGTAGCCTCGCGTCTAGTTGGTACTATCACACTTCCCATGACATGAGCATTACATACACACAATAGACGATATAGCACAAGCCCAAGCCTGATACAACATTGGACGATCGTACGCTGGTTTTGTGGGAAATGAAATAGCTTCCACCGAACGCACTCCGTTTCGGGAAGTTAACTTTACTCATTTGCGAGCATGTAGAGTAGGGTTGAAATAGCCAACAAAGTCAGGGGATGTTGGTTGCATAAAAAGCGACTAGGGCTGCAGCCGACCACCTTTTCTCTTGGTTTAGTATATTTTGCTCTATTTCGTGAAGTATGAATACCTGCTCTGATGGTGTCTGTCACGATGGTACTGACGAAAGCTTAGCAGAGTTTCGTCGGGGTCGCAGGACTGTGAGCTGAGGACTTTTTGGCACAATTCAACAGTCTTCCCTACGCGGCAATCCTCATTCGGTTTTTGGTGAAACCACATCACGAATTCCTTCGAACCAACTTTCCCTTCGAAATGCAGAGTCATGCCACAATATTTCATCAAGGAATTCTTCAACCCAATTTTTTTTCATCCCTTCTATGCTATAGACTATCTGTTTCAAGTTGATGCCTGAAAAACGGACCCACAGGCAGCTGCTTCACTCTGACTTTGCACTAATCTTTGAAAGAAGTCAAAGTCCCGGAAGTAGATAACATGTCGAAGCAAAGTCTCTCGGACACAGTGGACTCGCGGGGAATGCTGGCCTCTCGACCGAACTAGCAAGCATTTGAATACATCCGTCTCGGGGATACAGAGCAATCGCCGTCAACTGATACAACTTCACTCGAACAATACACAACACCAAGATGTATTTATTCTAATTGGTTCTTGGGTGATAACGAGAGTGCTAATTGAAGTGTCCAACAATCTGATGAGTAGACACGACATTTCCACTAACTTTCACGTAGCGATGCTTCCCCAAAAGTTATTCTCATCCCAGCAGGAGGCAACTGCCGTTTCGACTACGCTCGAAGCGATCTCATCAGCACCCTCGGCGGGACTCGAACTAGGACACCAACGCGTATAATCTCAACCCGTCACTCACTACACCACACCGACACGAAGACCCTTGGGTCACAGGGCATGTGTGAATGTTAAGAAGGCACTCTGTGGTGAGCTTGTCGAAGAGGTAAAATTATATTTGCTATGACAGTCAATTGTGTGTCGCTTGTTTTTCGTTGGTACATTCGTGGACTTGGACGAATTGACTTCACTTGTCTCTTTGACGGGTTGGTGCTGAAAATGGCAAGACTCACTGACGATGTCGGCGAAACATCTGAGCACGTACCGAGTCGACAGTCCGACGCTGGAAATCCGGACAGCTACTATGGCAGAGGATTTCGGAGAAGATGCGTCCAATTAAGTTGTCCCGACAACAAGACCAAGTTGTGAAAACAACGTCAACCCACTCGTATGCATCGAAAGGAGACTGCGACCATACCGAGCGCCACACCAGGTTGGCCTTCATATCTTCCGTCTATATGAGGTCGACATTTCAGTTCAATTCCGCCTGGATGGGAATAGGTTTTACTAGAACACGACTGTGTGAAGTCCAATGAAAAGGTAAGGTCTTTTCATTTTCAACTACCGGTCTCTCATCACATTAAACGAACTATGCTGAATACATCTCACATGTATGCCTTACTGGCAGTTGACAAGCGCAGGAGCGGTAGTTTTCCTAATCTCTCTCAAAGTCAGCATGGACACATTTGATAATCCGAGGCGCATACGAAGCCTTGAGCACAAGACACAACTGGAAGGTTGGCCTCTTCATGCAAGCGAGAGGATGATGAAGGGCTTATCTCCGCCAAACTCGACGTCTCGATTGAAGACATTCGCTGCTGTTGAATGTGGCCAAATGTAAGCAAAAAGTTGGACGTGTGCGAGGTGGAAACTGCAGTCCACCCCAGCCGGGATGGGAGCACCTTTCGAGAAGGCAAAGCTGTGTGAAATGCAATGGGAAACATCGGCTCTACGCATAGCGTGGTGGGAAAAAGCGACTAGCAGCACTCTTAAACGGAATGGGGCAAAGACAACTAATGGAAAAAGTTGACAGGTTTGAGGTGACGTCTAAAAGTTGTGCGACCAAATGCCCTGTTGCCTCGGGCATGGCTTCAAACCCATGTCCACTTGGCAGCAAGGTCACGCATGTGAGGAGTAATGGGGTCGCTGGGGCCTGTCGGTCGAGGGGTGTTGAGGGCCGGTTTTGCCGAAGGAGGCGAGAGCTGTAGAAAAGCCCAGTCGAGGCCGGTCCGAGATGAAGGCTTCGGGGTCAGGATTCCGCGGTAGTGCCATCTAGGATCAAGGCCTGCACCTCCCCCTCCTGCTTTGTCTGCTTTTCGCTCACGCTCGCCTGCAACAGACACGTGGGAAAAACAAGTGTGGGTTGCAGGAATTGTCATGGCGACGACGTGACTTTGCCGCCTCTGTGAGTAACCCGTTAGGTCGGGTGGCATGTGCCAACGTCAGCGAAGAATGTGGCTTGTCCCGGCCAGGCTAGAAACGACATAATGGGCCAAGTCGGGAGAGGTGTGTTTTTCACACATTTCTGTGAGCTAGAAGTGTGTTTTTTTTCGTGTGTGAGCAGGTTTTCGAGACTACCATCAAATCATACACATGAGTTGTGTTCACCCTATGATGAGTAGAGCTGATGTTTTCCATTGAATTTCACATAGCCCTGCAGTTTCCAGCTCGCCTATGTTCTTCATCACTTTACATGAAATAGGGTGAACACGACGCATAGTCACGAAAAAAGTAATATCGTCGAGTGATGTAGCAAAAGGAAACTTGCTTAATCGACAATCACAACACAGAATGAGATATGAATAAGGGCCCTCGGGGCAGTTTGGTGTGTCGAGATTACACGTTGCACCGTCATAGTTCGAACCCCGCTTGGGGTGTTTATAAGACCTATGCAAAGTCGAAACTGCAGTCCACCTCTTGGGAAAGCAAAGCCAGGGAAAATTCAATGGAAAACATGATTGTGGGAAAATCCAACTACCGCCTAAAAACACAATTGGGTGAAGACAAATCATAAAAGTGTGCTGTCTAGTCGGTTTAAAGGGGCGGCTCAAATCAGCACATCTCCCCGTGACTACATCAGACCCAGCAAG